CAGGTAAAGGGCTCAGGTGTGCCCACGGCCAGCCCTCGGCAGGTAAAGGGCTCAGGTGTGCCCACGGCCAGCCCTCGCCAGGTAAAGGGCTCAGGTGTGCCCACGGCCGCCCGCGCTGCCAGAGGATCCGACATTCCCGCTGCCAGCCGCGGGGAGCGAAACCGCCGGGAGAGAGCTCCGCATCCGCCTTTTGGGGGAAATCACACCTGAGGAGCCTCCGCAGGTAGGGCTGGGCAGGGGGACGGATGGTCCCCGGAGCCGGGGGAGGAAGAGCAGCGCTGTGCCTTCCTCACCTGCTCGAACGGGCACTGCAAATCCTCCTCTTCCATGGGGGAGTGAAGCTCTTTCAGCGGTGCCTCGGTCCGAGGTGTGGGGCTGGAATGGTGCCGGAGCTCCCCAGGGATGGGGTCTGTTCCACGGGTGAGGCTGAGGAGGGGAGGTTTGGTTGCGAGGCTGTTGCTGCACCCGTGTGATCCCGAATTCCCTCCCTGCCCGTCGCCCCACAGCTTCCTAAAATCTGTTCCCCTCGGAATTTCCATGGGGCACAGTAGGGAGCTCTCTGGGTGTGGGCAGGAGTGAGCACAGTGTCCGGACAACACCGGGAAAACTGGAGCCTGTAACCCCTGACAACCTCCCGAGAGGCTTGTGGTGAGCTCAGCACCTTCTCCCTCTCCAGCCCTACTTTTCCAGGACTCCTGTGGGAGAGAGGGAAGGTTTTTTTTTGCTGTCTCCTGCTCTGCCCTGTTTTGTTTCCCTCTGAATGAGTGTGAAAGCAGCACCCTGGTGAGGAGTGGCAAAGCTGGGGCAGAGGAGATGAGCACCTCCCTTTGTCCTTGCTTCATCTGGGCTTGGGGAATGTCACCTTCATTTCCCCGGCCCCACCCCTCTGCCCGCTCCAGAAAAGAGCCAAAAATCTCCATCTGCACCCCACTGTGTCCCACAGGAGTCCTGGAAAAGTCCAGGCTGCTCCAGGACAGACCCCTCACGTGAGAGGAGATGGATTCACCCGGGTAGGTTGGGAAGCAGGGATGTCCTCCCTCATCAGCTTGATCAGGACGTTGTGCTTAGGAGAGTTTATTTTATTCATCCAGCCAAAGAAAAAGCGTGAAATTCATTCCCCAAATTCATCAGGTTTTAAGTGGAAGTCCAGATTTCCACAAATGACAGCTTTCAGCTTTTTTTTTTCCCAAAAAAAGTCATGTTTTCTTGGCAAACCTGTGATGTCATGAAGGTTCAAGTGAGTTTTCTGTCCTGCTCTGTTTGTGGGTCGGTGATGCAAACACAAAGCTCCACCTTTGACACCAAAACACACTTTTCCTTCCTTTTTTTCCTTTCATCCTTAGACATCAAAGCTTAAGGTCAACAGTGTGTGTGTGAGGTGAACGTCCTGCACATCCTTCCCTTTCCAAACACAGGAATTATTTGAGCAATTAGGAATTAATGCCTTTAATTACAGCAATGAATCTGCAGACCTGTTATGGTGAAAAAGAATTGAGCAATATTGGCAGGAAGAGGAGTGAGGTTTTGGGATGGGGGTGGTCCTGCTCGGAAAACCATAGAGCTCCCAGCACAGCAGAGCCTTGGGATGATCCCTCGGGATGATCCCTCGGGATGGGCAGGATTGGGTGCTGCTCTCTTTAAGCTTCCTGCCTTTGGTAGCTCATGGCTTTGCCAACTTCATCTGGTTGACTAAATTTTAATTCTTTGTGGGATCTGTGGTTGTGAGTGAATTCAAGGAAATTAATTGTGCATTTGCAGCTTTTCATCTGCTGTCTCAAACCCGGCTGAGACGTGTCTGTGTTGCCCAAGGAATGAGGTCTGGGCAGGATTCCCCAGGGCACTTGCAGGGTTTCCATCTCTTTTCCCCATGTTTGGGGAAGAAGAGGCATTCCCTGCCCCCAGGCAGTGGGGACAGAGATCCTGAGGGAATGTGGTGCCAGGCTGAGGGGCTTCAGAGCTCCTGCACAGACCCCTCTGCAGCCACAATGGGGGGCACAGGATACGGCCTCAAGCTGTGCCAGGGGAGGGTCAGGTTGGACATCAGGAGGAATTTCTTCCTGGAAAGGGTGGTCAGGCACTGGAAGGGGCTGCCCAGGGAGGTGGTTGAGTCCTCACCCCTGGAGGTGTCCAAGGAAGGCCTGGCCATGGCACTCAGTGCTCTGGGCTGGGGGACAAGGTGGGGATGGGGCACAGGGGGGACTGGATGATCCTGGAGAGCTTTTCCAACCTCAGTGATCCTGGGATTGTAAGTGCCTGGTGTGTTGGGGCGTGTGGGCCACCTAAGGTGGGTGCACAGTGGGATGACTGTGTTGCAATTTAAATTATTGGAGTAATGCCATGGGAGAACTGTGGGGAAAAGTTGGTCCTCCAGAGCAGATGAGAATTCTCTAAAATCATGGAATCCCAGCATGGTTTGGGGTGGGAAGGGACCTTAAGGCTCATCCCATGGGCAGGGGCACATTCCACTATCCCAGGTTGCTCCAAGCCCCATCCAACCTGGCCTTGGACACTTCCAGGGATGGGGCAGCCACATCTCTGGGCAGCAGAGAGGACTCGTCCCCTGCCTGTGTGGACAAGACTCACTCAGGGTTTGGGATTTAGAGGTTTTCAGAGGAGGTTGTGCACGAGTTCATCTCCCTTTGAAACCCCACAGACATTTACTTGCTCGTAATACTGAGCCAGTATTGGGACATTTTTTGCCACTGGGGCTCACTCCAAATCCTGGAGCATCCCTCAGGCTGTGAGTGTGGATTTCCAGAGGCTGCCTCACAACCTCCCACTCCAAACATGCTCAGCCCCCATGTGAGGTGGGATGAGATCCTCGGCTGAGTTCCCAGTGGGAAGCCTGGGGTGGAATTCCCATTGCCACTCGTTCCCCCAAGCACAGGGAGTGGGAGGGGAAGGTCCATCCTCCCCAGGCACGGGATGTCATTCCAATCAGAGTTCAAATAGCTGTAGTTTTAGGAATGTTGGCTCCAAAATGTCCCAGGCACTGGGCAGGAGGTGCTGATCCCGCCTTTAGCTGAAATGGTTTGCAAGGGTTAAGGTGGTTCTGGCAGGGTTTGTGCCATCCACTGCTGTCCCTTCCCAGCAGATCAGGTAACAGGTGACAGCAAAGCAGGAGCAGGCACAAGGTTTGCATTGTGTGCTCTGGCTACTGCAGAGAAATGTGAGGACGTGCCCAGCCTGGTCCAGCTCCCGGGAGGAGGGTCTGGATCAGCCTTCCTGCAGCTGGAAAACTCCCTGCTGGGGCAGCTCTGGTGGCTACAGGTGACCCACGGGGAAGGGGCTTCTCTCCCTGGGTTTGGGAAAGCTGGGCTAAAAGCGTTCCCACCCTCACCCCTGAGAGTGGGGCCCTGCACCAGCATTTGGGGCTGGATGACAAAATCCTCAGCAGACTTCAGGAGGTTCAAAGGAAGGAGGTTCAGACCTTTTGCAAGCTTCAAGTACGTTTTAATTCGAGCGCCGCGAAGGTCAAAACGGGCATCAATTATCCTTCAACCGGGATATTTTTCCACATGGATGCCCTGGGTGCTGTTTGTGGTGTTCGGGTCGCTGGCCAAGCCCTCCATTAGTGCTCGAGTTCCTGGGGGGGAAGTGAGGGTTGTGCTCGGAGCCAGGAGCACGTGAGGACTCCTTGGATGGGCTCAGCTCCCGGGAGCAGAGCCCAGGGCATCTCCCGGTCCCCAGGGGCGATTTGGGATTGCTTTGCAGGTGGTTTCCTAAGGGATGGCACGTGGGCTTTGGGCTGGGGGAAATAACAACAGGGAGGACATGGTTTGTTGTCTCTTAATGACCTTTCTGTGGAGGCACCCGGAGTTTAACTCCTGGTTCACGGAATCAGGGTTGGAAGAGACCTCCAAGGTCATCGAGTCCCTGCAGGGACTGGAAAGGTGGCAGCACGTGGATCAGCTGGGGGTTCCTGTCCCAAAAAGGGGCCCACTGATAGAGCAGTTCCTGGTGCAGAGCACTGCTGGGCCTCCCAGAGGGACCAGCATGGAAAAGTGAGCCTGGAATTCAGGGATCACATCCCGGGACCAGCATGGAAAAGTGAGCCTGGAACTCAGGGATCACATCCC